GTTGTATAAAAGGTCGCTATTATCAGGAGATTGTACGTATTAAAAATGGGGTTTGAACTTGCCTTTGCAAGGCAGAGCACTCAGTTTGAATACTTAAATGGTTAAAACTTCTGAGTAGTTTACCGGAAAACAAACGTACTTGCTGGCTTTACGATTAACTCTGCTGGGCCTCGTGCGGTGCCGTAAATGATCGAACTGACTAGTCTAATAAAAGCCTCCTCCACAATGTTAAGTTTCTATTAGATGCCCCACTCTAATAAACGCCCCCCGTCAAATAGACGCCGCCCCTGCAATTACTCCACAATACTAGCAAATGGCAAAAACGACGCCAGCTGACATCCGACGTATAATCCAGTGAAGCCATTTTATTATAATTCGTTTGGTTATCTCTTCAACAAACATTTTAAGACGGAATACATCAGGAAATTGAGTAATTTTAATTTTCAGAGGACAAAAACCTTGTACTAGAATAATTTAAAGCATATAGCATTCTTTTTTACATTTTTCAAGGGCTATAAATGTAATTTTTTTACGTGTAATAACACCAAAGAAAATTTCCTATGGAGGCCCGAGAAAATTAATGTCAAACTTAACAAAATGACAGCTTGCACTTGAAATTTTCAGGATTTTACATGTGTTTTCACAATTCTTGGGAAATTTGACGCTCGTGATATTTCAAAATTGTCTCAAATTTCACGCGCCGTTAGGCGAGTGAAATTTGAGACAATTTTTAAATATCACTCGTGGTATTTATGCCAGATATCACTACAAATCATGGTACAAGGCTTTTGTCCACTGAAAATTAAAATTACTCAATTCCCAAGTGGATTCCGTCTTAAGGTCACAACTCAGAACGTTATAAAGACCTGACGACATACTGAATATCATGTCGAACGTTGCACTGCCTTTAAATAAACAGAGGTAATGCGACCGAAATTTGTTGCAACAGCGCCGCCTGGTTTCTTTGTCAAATCATAAAAGGTTGGGGGCTGACAGAAAGAGATCAAACATTATAACAGATTGTTCCCCTATCCTGTCATTCTTAAAAATGGAAACGTCGACTTGAAGAGCCCCCAGTGGGAGGGCGGATGGCGAGTTTGCACCCGTCAAAGCAAGTTACGATAAATTTAACGGGGGCACCCAACGATGGTTTCCTCCTAAATACATTGAAAGCACTTTTAAGGCTATCCAGAGTATGCATTCTAAGCGGAGCTATAGAATTTGTATCTGTTCGGTCATCCTAGGCAAACTTGAGTCTTTTCGAAATTACCAGGGTCGGAGACTTATTTTTCCGAAAATTGTAGGTGTAATATCATAGGTGAAGAATTACTCCTTAAGTTTGGCGCGAAATTTCAGCGTTAATTTGTAATTTCACATGTGAAATTGCCAAATTGCCATGGCAACCCTTCCGTACGTCTCAGTGTCAAGAAGGCGACGAAGTTTTAAAATGCCTTGAATGAAGATGTCAGGGCACAAAAAGACGTTTTAGAAAACCTGAACACGCAAGAGAACACCAAGAAGGATTCTAACAGGTATTTTTCCAAAAAAGTCTGAAAAATTCTGAACTTTATAAGCCAAATTTAAGGTCTAAACATTTGAGAGAGTGGAGTTCTCGATCGATACCATCCAGGATAAACATGTCAAAAATCCAAGATTGCTAACGTAATTCCTCACCCATGATATTAATAGGTAATCAGATGGTATACTCGTGAAATTAGGGAATAATTTCACTCGTCACCATTTGATTACACATACAAATTTGACGTATAACGAAAGTAAGACATTTTCTGTTTCTTAGCGCCATCACATTTTTGAATGCGAAAATTTTACGTTCCCTTTTTTTCTACAAAAAATAGTTTAACTTGGGAAGTAAATTGCGAAAATTAAGCTTCAGAAAATCGTAGGGAATTTATACCATATGCTTCGATAATTGTACATGAATGGAAAAGTCATCTAGAAATTTTTAGCCGTCCTAATTCTAGGCAATATTTGCTTCTCCGAACAGATATTTCACAGAAATAGTCATTGGATTCCCCTGATTAAGGTGTCTTTACACCATGGCTGTGACAGAGGTTGTCACATGCCAATCAAGATAAAGTTAGTAATTAATGCTAAATGCTACCCAAGAAAGCGGAACCCTTAAATGAGAACTTCTTGTAGACACGTAAAAGCCCAGGGAAAAACATGTTGGGTCGCTAGAAGCTAAAACTGCGGCCGGTATAATATGATTAATTTTCTAGTTTTCTGGTCCATCGCTGCTACAATTTTTGCAGCCGAAGAAAACTCTCGATCATCTTATTTAATAACCAGGGAAAATAAGCGGTTGGAAGGACATACAGTCAAGAAAGTCGACTCAACTAGTTTCATGTTATGCAGTCAAGCATGTTTAAGGCACTCATGGTGTACCTCTACTAACTTCATCGAGTCCTTTGGGAAGAGCGGTACTGAGGGCAATTGTGAACTGCAAATGCACAAGTTCTTCTCAATAAATGATGACACCAAGCTTATTGATCAACCTGGCGCAACGTTTTCAATGTTTCTTAAGGTAAGACAACTAGCATCATTTGCTTAAATAATAAGTAAAACATTAATACAGCTCTCTTGAGTATATTTAAGGAGAATGTAAGACCTAGAGTTGTTAGTTTTGTTTAGCGATGGGTCTGTGAATGAGCTCATCTCAAAGACCAGACTTCCTACAAAAGTCAACTGAATGATAGTTTTTTTTCTCTAATTTATTCTTAAAATTGCTCCGATAAGAAATATCATCATATCCACGTTGCCTTGACTCCAATAGGAATACATGTTGCACCTGTTTAAATTGTAAGAAATGTGGCTAAGATGCACAAGAAATAAATTTATGACGAGTGCAATGCAATTGAAACTTAGAGTATAAA